AAGAGGGAGTAGGGCGGAGAAGAGCACTGTTCTGATCCACTATGCTGCTCTGACACTGAGTGGGAAGAGGGGTAGAGCGGAGCCGAGGCCAAGTCCGAGGCTTTTGTCTAACTGCAGGATAGAGCTAGCATTTACCGAGACGGGCAAGGCTGGGAAGAGCAGTTCCGGAGGTCATTACTAGACAACCCAGTGATGTTGCAAGAAGGCAGCTGGATATATGAGTCTGGAGTTCAGTGGCAGGGTCTGGACTGGAGTAATTTAGGAGTCATCTGTGTGAGGTATGAGGCTGATGAGCTCACCAAGGAAGTGAATATAGAAGAAAAAAGCTCCAAGGAGAGAAGTACCACAGGGAAACAGATCTTAGCCCAAGGAGGCTGTGGGGGATGGGGTGCTTCCCAGGGAAGTGCCCTGTCCAGAGAAAGCACAGGGGCAGAGGGGAGAAACCAGCCCGTGGAACACTGCTGCTGAGTTGTGTAAGTTAACTACTAACTTAACCAGTACATCTAACAAAGTGAAAATAATTGGTGACTTTGAAAAGGGTAGTTCTGGTGAAATGATAAAGGTGAATGGGGATTAGAATAGATTCAGTAGGGATGAAGAGGACAGGAACTGAAGAGCAAATATAAACATGTATTCCAAGGCATTTTGAAAGATGAGCAGAGAAATGTTGGGATGGCTAGAGGCAGTGAGTGGGGAGGGTTTTAGGTTGTGAAATTGCTACATGTCTGTAGGCTGATGGAAATGATTCTGTGTAAGGAGAAAATTAATGATTTGCTAGAGAGGAGAGTTGCTGGGGCTTTCCCCTTGAATAAGAAGAGGGAAGGGGATATGGAGTATGAATGAGAGGTGACAGGTGGGAGAGAGCACAGAGAGGTGACCCAGGAACTAGAGGGCAAGCAGTGGGTGAGTGGGCAGATAGTGGGAGCTTAGAGGATATCCCATGATTGTCAGATTTCAGTTTTCTTAGTGATGTGGAAATCTTGGCCATCAGCTGAAAGTGAGGATAGAGGGGGAGGTAGTGTTTAAGAAAAGAGGACGAGGTGTGAAATAGCTGTCTAGGAGTGTTGGACAGGGGCAGATAATGAAAATAGAGTATGACTTTTTGACAGAATTAAAGGCCTTCTTGAGTTCAGTGATCATGAATTTAAGATGAGCCCACACCACATAGCTGGGCACCGCCACATTTCACTACGGGATAGGAAGGTTGTGTAGGGAAATAGTGTCCAGGTGAGCATTTTGAAGCAAGAGGGAGAAGAGTTGAGGGTTTGCTGCAAAGTCAGACATGGGAATTTACACCTGGTCAAGAGGGAAGATGGAACATGAGAGTGGTGAGAGATCAAATTGGCAAGTTCAATAGATTGTGGATCATGGTAAAAGGTTTTTGAAGTAAGGGTCCCAGGGAAAGTAAGCCAGAAAGAAAGTAGTAAAAAGGGAGAATAATTGGACTTGAGTTTTAGAGGGGTTGCAATTAATAATTAATGGTGAGGACAAGAGCTAAGACTAGTGGTTCTCAAACTTTAATGTGCTTGTAAATCCCCTAAAGATCTTGTTATGATGCATGTTTTGATTCCATAAGTCTATGCGGGTAGAGCCTGAAATCCTGCCTTTCTATCAAGCTTTCAGGTGACATAGATGCTGACAGTCCAGGGATCTCATTTGAAAAGCACTGGTCTAGAGTGGTGTTTCTCAACCCTAGCAGTAAATCACAGCCCTTGGAGAATTTTAAAAATACTGACATTAGAACAGTCTTGACCTGTGAATCATAGTTTCTCTGGGTTGGAAATAGTTTCTCTGGATTGGATAGAATTGGTATAGATGTTCTCCAAATTATTCTGCAGTGAAGCCAGGATTGAAAGTCTCTGGCCTGGAATGCATGACTCTGAGTGTGACTCAGACCAAAATCAATGCAGGAAGGCATGTCAGGTAATCAAGAGGCCAAGGTGTTGAAAGTGTTATATTTCTGGTTATTAAAAGTACCAGAAATTATGACAGAAATTGTGCTAGATAAACTGACTGTGAGTCCAGAGGTCTGCAGATGACCACAGAAAACAGAAATTTGGTGACATAATCTGATGGCATGCGATTCCAGGCAAAGTAGTTTGGAGAAAATAGTCTAGAATAGAAAATGCAGGACAAGGAAAACACTTAGTAGATCCCTAGGTTTGTATGTTGGATTTGGGAAATCAAACATCCATGACCTGAGAGGACTCCAGAGGAAACAAAAGCACCATGAAGAGCTAGGTTTTAGTTAAAGAAAAATTAGGAAAACAATCTAAATAGAAGTTGAAATTTTGTAGGATTTTGCTTTTATATTCCAAGGCAGCATGGAAGAGTTTTGAGACTTTTGGAGGGTGGAAGATGGGGATTGTAGTGCAGGGAGTGACCAGGGATCTGGTCTTCATGGAGATGGTGGTCTCAAAGCAGTGTGTGGAGGCCACGCTGGGGCAGAGAACTGGGGTGGGGCATCTTGCCAGAAGACAGAGGAGTCCTTGGCTCCCCTCTTCTTTCCTACGGCAATTTTCTAGCAGTGGAGAACCCTTTGTTTCTTCAAATAAAGGCATACAAGGGAGCCCAATGTAGAAAATGCATCAAAGCAGAGCCTCTACAGTTAAAGTCAGTTTTACGGGGGAGGGCAGTGGCCCCACAATGCCCCAGAGGCCTCCCCAGTACTCCTGGGTCTCCTCAGGGGTCCTCAAAGCTCACATCACAATCACTGCTCCAACTTGCTGAAAGACACACAAGGAACATTCAGAGTCATGTATAAGGAAGTACAGATCATAAACTCAGTCATCACAGATGTCTTTTTAAATCTTTTGTCAACTGTTCAGAGTGATATCTTTCTTCCATGTAATAAACTTCAAATAAAAAAGTGGTTTGCAAGATCCCTTGGGATCTCTATGTCACTTACAATCAAGGTAACCTAACTGTTAACCCATTTGATTCACACAGAGGAAACCACAGCTTTGCACGGCCATGACTTAGGCCGGGTGCTCCAGAAGCAAGTCATGAGGCGGAAGTCTGAATGTCAGTGGTGGTCTGTGGAAATGTCCCTGGGAGAGGGGGCCGTGTAGGTGTGTGGAGCAAGGTTGGGGGAGAAAAGGAGAAGCCCTGGAAGAGGGTAATTAGAGGTGATGTCTCAGGAAGTGGGTTCAGCCTAATCCCGCAGAGGAACTCTGGAGTAACAACTCAGATGTGACCCAGCTGGACACATGCATGCTTCCACACCCATGAGATAATGGCTAAGGGGGACATTGGGGGTGGAGTGGCTAAACGGAACTGCAGCACAACCAGGCAGAGTTCAGGAGTCCAGGATCCATCATTCAAAGAAGAGGAACAGGTATGAGTCCATGAAAGAAAAGCACACAGAGCATGTGCACGCACCTGCGCACACACAAATAGAAGGGAGCCAAGACCACCTTGGCGGGGAGGCAAACGGTACCTTTTTTAAGTGGAAAGCTTTCCTTAGAATGACATAGATAACCTAGGTAAAGATAAAGTTAAAAAAATTAATATCAGCTTTCAATTATTGTCAAATTGGCCTGTCTTCCCCCTTGTACCTCCAGCGAGATCATATAACCACACACAGAGGCCCAAATTTTGAGAAAATCCAGATCAAGTAAGTATGAGCATCTTATCAAATATGTCCAAACACGGCCCTGGCCTGAATGGTGCTGTCTGTATTTGAAAACAAAATGATGTCTTAAAACTCCACTGTTTTAGATGGATTCCATTCTAATCTTTCTCACTGACATAATGTAAATACCAAGAATGTTTAGCTATTTCAAAATTTAAATCACCACAAATAGTTGCTCTTATCTATATCCTCCTTTGTTTATTTGAGGATAGTTGTTGCTGTTTGGTTTTCCCATAAATTGTAGCCTCTCTTCTGGGGATTAGAAGAGGATTATTTTAGAGTCCCTGCGTTAAATTGTAATTTAGAGCCCTGCAAGGTGGAGCCTGCAGACAGATCTAAAGATTATTTCCTAGACCTCTTGTGGTGCTGGAGAAGCTCCTTAAGATTTTGAAAATGGCAACACTATTGACTCCCTACTACTAAAGATTACTTGTATCCATATACACAGTAATTCAAAAGGAAAGTTAAAGTGTGATAAATATCAATGTTATTTTGCTTTATGGAAAAACCTGTGTATAGAACAAAAAAACAATTTACAAGACAAGAAGTAGTTTATCCTCCATAAGGACAGTTATACAGATGTATTTCCTTTTGTTCTGTAGGGAAAACATTGCTGTTGCTAAATTGATATTTGCAGAGGAAAAAAAATAGTTCAGTAGTTTGAACAATCAGGTCTTAGGCCAGGTTCCCCAGAAGCAAACCATGAGCCAAAGATTTGATTCCAGTGATATACAAAAGGAAAGATTTGTGTATAACATATACTATTCTGATTTTATTAAGAGTTGGGAGGAACATTTTCCTCCCCAAGTACTTTGGCTCAGATGCATCTCCAAATATGAGTTCGCCACATTTTAAAGTTAAGTGCATTTTCAGGGAAATGTAATCCTTATGTTTCAGCACAGCTTCATGTAAATCAACCAAATGTAGTTTTATTAGAGCTACATGATGTCTAAGATGCCTTTGAGCTTTTTAAATAGTCCTTATATTCTTTTCTGAACAGCAGCAGGTAAGTTTCCAAGAGTAAACAAACCAAATAGCAAAAGGATTTGGGTTCAGTTTGAAATGCTTAGCTATTATTTTTTATTGGGGTCTGAACTTAGCCCCGCACATTCCCTGTTCCTGCCTTCAGGGCAAAGTGAAAATAATTTGAGCACTCTATTTCCCAATTGGTTCATTGACATTTGAGAATAATGTAATACAGGCAGAAGCAGGATGTCTGTCAGGTAAGTGATACTTCACATGACCTCAGAAAGTTACTTCCTTCTAGTTTGCAGAAGCTCATTGCATGAAGCAGTGTCCTACGTATTGCAAGACACCCATCAGAGTCCATGCTGGGGACTTACGTATTTCTCTTGTGCATCTTCAGGTGGAATGGTTGAAAAATGAAGATATAATTGACCCTGTGGAAGATCGGAATTTTTATATTACTATTGATCACAACCTCATCATAAAGCAGGCCCGCCTCTCAGATACTGCAAACTATACTTGTGTGGCCAAAAATATCGTGGCCAAGCGGAAAAGCACAACCGCCACTGTTATCGTCTACGGTGAGTGACCTGTGGGCCTTCAATGTGGTTCGTGTCAGTTTTCTCATTTTAATTCACAGTATCAAGCCAGGGGCCCCCACTGCTGTTTCAGCTTCTCACATGGGTGGTGAGGTTCGGCTACTTTCCTGATACAGAAAGACTAGACTTGGAAATTCCTCGCCCTTTGTCAGTCAGCCTACAGGAAAGTGAAGGAAGTCTACCTGAGGGCCTGCCTGCTCAGAGCCAGCAGATGGTCCTGCTTCCCTAACCCTGCCCCCTGCCGGACCCAGGACCACCCAGATGGAGAATGAGTGAGGAGCTGAAGATGCCTCAGTGAGCCTGCCAGTTCTTCTGTGGGCCTTGGCTCAGTCCAGGGATCATAAAATATCAAGTAAAATGAGGCTAACCTGTTCCCCAAACATATGGAAACAAGTGGAACCTCCCAGAACTTGCTCTGCACAGTCTGTGGGAGGCCCTCATGAGGACGGCACTGCCCCACCAAGCGGCTCTCATCTCAGCCGTGCGGCAGTGCTCAGCACAGCATCTTCAGGAGCGGCCTGCTCTCTGGCCCTTTCTAGTTCATCTCATCTCAGATTAGGCCTCTCACTTTTCCTGGGATCCTCAACAGTTTTGCACCAGTTTTGCTGCAGCATATGATGCTTTTCTCCCCAAACAGGGCAGCACCTACTTGTTCTCTATAGTAGAACAAGTAGTTCATCTCCCCATCTAGGCTTTTTGCTCCTAGGTAGACTGAGAGGCTACTCTGTATATTTCTGTATTTCTCACAGTGTTAGACACATAGCAGACCCTCATATTCTTGATGACTTGTTGTCTCAGAGGAAACTGAACAACTCTGGGAAGGATTTTGAGGGTATGCCACCTCCTAAATGATATGTGCATGTCTCAGCACCTGTTAGTACTTGAGGAAACTTTCATGGCTGCAACTGTGTTAAACTCTCCAGGGGCCTCAGTGTCTGGGTGACTGGGAAGGAGGGACAGCCCCGGACAAGCGTCTGGCTCGTGGCACTTGCACAGACAGTACTGTTTAGATGGATGTCCTCACACCGTAGGGAATTATGAGAACAGAAGCCACTGTGATGCTCCACAGGCTGAACACAGAGTTGCCTCCACACGATCATATTCATTACAGGACAGATGCATACTCTGTGTTTTTTTCATCCTTTGAATACTCTTGAGGTTTAATTTCCTAGTCAAGATAATGGCTATGCTGGATTGGAAGCAATTGCCTTTAAGTCACAATAAAATGTTTCCTTCTTTTTGTCTTTCTCTAAGCTGTCTGAATGAGTTGATTAACAGCATTTGAAGCGCAAAAGAGAAATGGGGCACATTACAGCATGTAGCAATGATAAATACCTACTGCCAGCAGACTCTATAGATGTATTATATAGGTGTTTAATATACATGCAAATCTCTTTTCCTATGTATAATATGTTTTTAATATCCATAAATACAAGCTAAACATTGTCTTTAGGAAGGATCAAACACAAGTAACTTCAACATTTTATGTTCAGAAAATAGCATCAGACTAGGGGTCAAGAGTGTTATGTTCTAAGACTAGTTCTACCACTAACTAATGTTCAGTTAATCACTTAACCAGGATGCTCTAAGCCCTTGTCTCTTTCTCTTTAAAATGGGGGAATAAGCATAGGCCCATCAAATACCTTTCTTTCTCTAAAAGTTTATGATTATTCATTTCTCATTATAATCCTAGCAGAGCAGTTCATGTATGCTGTAACCCCTAATATCAACTTGTCATTATGCTAGTAAGCAGTTTATATTGACAATTGTGTAGTGATTTGTAAAGTTGAGCAGGCTAAGGTCCCTTTTCTAACATGGGCTGAAATGCTACCTTTCAACCATCTGCCTGTCCTTTTCGTGGCCTCATAAAATAAATTGGCTATAAGGCTCATAAATTGGGCCCACCAAAAGTTCACAGAAAAACATATACCTCTAACCCGTATTTCATTTTTCAGTCTGTTGTATATATTTATTTTGTTAGCATCATTTTTAGATTCCAAATATATATCCATTATAGAAAATTTGGGAAATACAGAAAAGGTCAAAGAAGAATATACCTATAATCTTGTCATCTTGTCATCCAAAGATAGCTTAAAAAAGATTGATATGTATACTACTGGTATTTTCTATTCATAGATAGGATTTTAAAATAAGGGCCATAAATATAATGTTTTACTTAAAACATGGTGTTGAAATATTCATGTATGATTAAATGGACTTCTATAGCATCATTTTTAATGGCTGCTTAGGAGTCAATTCATGAACATCCATGGTTTACCATTTTCCTATTGTTGAACATGACAGTTATTTTCAATTATTTATCTTTATATGAAAACACTGCTGTAAAAAATACTCTTGTCCATGTCTGTATATATAACACACTGATGATTATTTCCTACTACATAGGTTTCTAAAAAAGAAAATGTTGAACATATGATATGCACGGGCATGGTGTGAGTTACCTGACCAGCTAACATTCTTCTTTATTAGGAGGCAGACACATATACTAATTATGTCATGTTTTAACCACCAGCAAATAGTTTTTGTGTGAAATTGCTTACTTACAGTAATTTCATAGACTCACATTATTGAAGTGCATAAATATATCAGACTATTTACTAAAGCCAGATCTCCAGAGATAATTAGCAAATACTAGTGATAATGTGTAGTAGATTGTGTAATCACACACATACTGACAGTTCCACCAAGCACCATAATTAGCCTTTATACAAAAACTAGGTGCCCATTTCAGTTACATTAACTAAATGCCAATTCAGTCTAGCCAATTAGTTTAAAATCCAGCAATATGTCCTCATTTTTTAACCAGGTTCATTGGTTAAAAAAAATGCAACTGAATAAAAATCCTTGAAAGGGTATAAAGTTTACATATACTTATAAAAATCTATCACCTACTACTAAGAAAAGCCTACATGATTTCATTCATTCCCACATTTCAGATCTACTTGCAACCATGGCATAAGGATGTAAATATTTAGTATTTGAGATAAGCTGTCAGAAGTAATTTTTGGAGCTTGACTAGGTAAAGGGAATGTATTTATTTATTTTAAAGAACACTGGCCAAGGAAAAAGAACACAGTCCTATTTACTTTTGTGAGTGGGTGAGTAAATTTTGGCAATTCATTTTATTTATCTCTGTGTTTAGATTCTTTAGCTCTGCAACCAAATTGCGAATAAAATGATGTCCAAGGGCTCTTCTAGCTTTGAAATTTTAGATTTATTTTATGATCACTTCGGAGATGAGTTTTTGTTTATGCATTGTGCATGGTTGGTGCATGCATGCACAAATATTTAATCCACATTTACTGTTTATCTCCTTCCAGTGAATGGTGGCTGGTCCACCTGGACAGAGTGGTCTGTGTGTAACAGCCGCTGTGGACGGGGGTATCAGAAGCGCACAAGGACCTGCACCAACCCAGCACCGCTCAATGGCGGTGCCTTCTGTGAAGGGCAGAGTGTGCAGAAAATAGCCTGCACCACATTATGCCCAGGTAAATAAACAAGTGCTCTCATTCCAAATGTCTCCTTCCATTCTAAAGATATGTATTAAGGGATATAACAAAAGCCTTATTCTTGACCTGAATGTGTGATAAATATGATTTGAATCCAATACCATTCAGTGCTTCCTTTACTTACTTTACTAGATTTATTACCCAAACATGCAAAATAGAATTAAACAAGAGATTAAACACTTATGAACATAATCCCTCTCTATTACCCAACAAAACTGCTGGAGCCAAGATTGCAGATTCTATTATTCAAGGGATTTGAACAGCATTGAAAGCCACACATTTTAGGACTAACAACCCTTGATCTTCAGAAAGCCATGGAAATTAATTGGAATTAAAATGTAGAAAAGGTTGTAGACTGAAATATTTGACATTTGGTGTCAGTTTCTGGGCACAGGCAAAGAAAACATTTGGAATGAATTAAACAAAGGCAAAATTTTGTGACACATGGACTAATGGATTTTGAAGATACCGTGCAGTCAGCTGCCTATCATCTGCACATATTGGCCACCTATTTTGTGATGCCTAGAGCAAGATTGCGTCCCTCTGACTCTGAGCTGCTTCCTGTGCTCTCATGTTGCCACCAGCTTTTATTCCTAGGTAAATCAGAGTTTTTGCCAAAACCAAAACCATAACTCACTTAAAATGCCTACTTGTACAATATATTAAAAAGTTCAGCAAAAATTATTTTGAATTAATCCATTGAGGTACCTATTATCTTGTCAATTTCATTATTTAGTTATTTTGTGTTTATAATTTCATTATTTAGATACATAGTCTCCTTATGTCCCTTTATTTTGCCTGACTTTTGTCCTTTTCACCCTTTAATAGAACCTGTCTCAGAGACGGGTTGGAGAAATGAACTGGAGAAAATACAGATAATTTATGTTTTCTATTCTCAAGTGTTGAGTTCCAAATATCAAAAAAGTATCCCACATCAAATCATTGGGAGCTTTTACCTGCAGAACAAATCCTGACACTTAGCTAGGCTTAGAATTTTAGTGTTTTATCTTGTACTCACCTATACCTTATCTAGGTGTTGATTCCCACAATTAAAAATGCACTGAACCTTTGGTTTGAAATAGAAGTGTGTGTATGTGTGTACACCTTAAGACGGTCTAGGTCAAAACAGATGTCTTTTCTCCAGATAGCTGGGAGTTATAGCCAAATGGGTATGATTGAAATATTAATGCTTTCATCATTTTTTCATGTGGTCATGTTTACATCTCCATGTGCATTGTGCATGATGTAATTACACAATAATTTGAATATGGAATCATAGATTTCCCAAATTAGGTAGACTACTAAAACAGATATAATTTATATCAATATGTAGTTATGAAATGTTATGTATACTACATGTTCAATAAATGATGTTTGGCATTATTTTACATTGAATTCTAGATAATCACAACTACGCATTTCAAAGAAAACTTTAAAAAATTTAACTTTTTTCAATATTTTCATCCTATTTATTTATTTATTTTTATTTTGGTATCATTAATCTACAATTACATGAGCAACATTATGGTTACTAGACTCTCCCCATCATCAAGTCCCCCCCACATACCCCATTACAGTCACTGCCCATCAGCATAGTAAGATGCTATAGAATCACTACTTGTCTTCTCTGTGTTGTACAGCCCTCCCCGTGCCCCCACACACATTATGTCTGCTAATCATAATGCCCCTTTTCCCCCCTTATCCCTCCCTTCCCACCCATCCTTCCCAGTCCCTTTCCCTTTGGTAACTGTTAGTGCATTCTTGGGTTCTGTGAGTCTGCTGCTGTTTTGTTCCTTCATCCTATTTATTAAAAACCTTTTAAGAATGCATTTTTAAAGTATAACCCAAGTGTAATTTACTGTATTTTTTCCATTTGGGGTTTAAGTTTTATGTTTTTAAAATAGAGATATGTCTCAGTGTCATTGAGATTTCCAGCAAGCCAGCCACCAAAATTAGAAAGAAAGAGAGTCAATGCTAAATGACTAGATCACAGAAAAGATTAGGAACATTCCTAAATATTATTTTTAAAATACAAATAAGAATGTATATATCATCAAATAATGGGATGGAATTATCAAATAATAAATAGAAAATAATATAGTCAATTCAGGAAGATCTCAACAGAATCAACTTTCTGGATGAAAAAATAAAAAGAGTATGTCAGACATGGGCAGGTGATAGATGAGACTGACAGGTATGGATGGATAGATGAATGGATGGTTAAGTGTCCATTGGCCTGGTCAGTGCTAAAACTATCACACCCCCAGTAAGGTAAGTTCCCAACTTCCTGACCACATATGTAGAGCATGCTCACTTGCCAGCAGCTGACATGAATACAGTACCTATTTCTTCAGTTTTTTGTTTTATTTTTACTTGAGCTTTGTTCCCCTCTCCCCTCAAGCAGCTGCTTCTTGCTCTGACCTGATGCTGTTTTTTCCCATGGTAGTGGATGGCAGGTGGACCTCATGGAGCAAGTGGTCTACTTGTGGGACTGAGTGCACACACTGGCGCAGGAGGGAGTGCACCGCTCCAGCCCCCAAGAATGGGGGCAAGGACTGTGATGGTCTCGTCTTGCAATCCAAGAACTGCACTGATGGGCTCTGCATGCAGAGTAAGTCCATTTGAGCAAAGGACAGGCATGGGGAGGCCTGAGATGTAATGAGCTGGATTTCTTTGAAGGAAATATTCAAAGTTAATAATTTTTTTTTAAATGCAATAATATACCAGTATCCTAGTTTTCTCTCAAAATTGAGGGAGCTGATCTCCCAAGAACCAGAATGAATAATAACCCCATCCAGTTAACAAATGCCATCCACTGTTGTCAGTGGCTTTCCCATGAACAGAGAGTGATTTAGTCATTTCCATGGTAGGGCTGTCTTTCTTTCCAGACCAAAGAACCATTATTCAGTTTTATTACAGTGCATAAAAGGACACCCTAAACTTCTCATAGAGTCACATGACTTCCAATAAGTAAGCTAGTTTTTTCCTAATCCATGGCCATTACTGAACCAATGTCCATGGAATGTAAAATATACATAAGGACAGAAAACATCCATGCAGGGAGATTTACCGATTTACAACAATTACTTAGTGGGAATAGCTTCAAAAATCCTTGAAAATGTTGGGTTTGTGTTAGAAGTTATAATGTTTATTTAAAGGAAATAATGTTAAATTTAAAAAATGGGTGTAGAAGATTGGCTCAGGAATATAACAGATGCTATAAGGCTAAATATTCTCCATTTTTTATGGCTTTGTTCCTTAGATTTTCTTAATGAAATGGTAATTTGATTTCCAAATGCAAACTTTACCATTTTCATGGCCATGAATTAAGGTGCTAAGAATTGTTCTGAAATACAGATGAATGGATCACTGTCTTTGGATCTTAACTAATGGCAGTCAAGTGTTATGACACATTACAAATTGTTTGTGAAATACAAGCAACCAAATGTATTTGTGTAGAATTATTTGTATTTGTTATATAGGAAGCAAATATTTTTACCACATTTTATGAAATTCTGTTTATCTTCCAGAGTCTATACACAGAGAGGCCTTTAAAAAGACACCTTACTTTAAATACAAGTAATTAGGTTACTGACACAGAATAAAAATCCAATAGGACTCTTAGGTTTCTGCCCACAGTACATTGCACTCTTTGAGAACAGGCTGCTGCTGAGTTCTGGTTATGATTTAGGACCTGCTACTGTGCAGCTCACCAAGTTTGTACCAGAAATGCAAGAATGGAAAGAATACAGCTCTTTTACTAACTCTTCCTCCAGAGACACAGGATTTGTTCCTCTAGGTGTGAGTTAGGGTTGAGGAGTAAAATAAAAACATACCACAAGCAATTTATTCTTTTTAATATTTTTATAATTCAATGTTCTTTCTTTAATGCTGAACAGATTGATTCATGTAATTCAAAAGTCGCAATTTTGAAGTCTTTCTCTCCGTACTATATTTCAACTTGAGGTGATTTAATACCTGTTGCTTCTGTTGTGCATATTTAAAAATTCCCAAAGCAACCTATTCAGTAAGGAATACAATATTTCAAAATGGAACCTGGGACCTTCTACTAGTTACACAAAATGACACATTCTAAATTATGATACTTGTCAAATCAAACATGAAATATTCAAGTTTAGATTTTCATGACATAGCATCCTCATAGCATCTACCTTATTTCTTATGTCATTAATAGAATTTTTCTTATGATTGAGTATCTGCCAATAATTATGACATAAAGTAGTTGTACAAACAAAGGGAATGAGGCTACTAGGGGAGTTTTTGTTACTTGTTTTGCTTATTTTTTTTAGCATGTCTGTTAGACTGAAATATCTGGGTCTTTGGATTAAAATCAGTCAGTTAAAAAGCTATTTCCTTTTACAATTCGGATTTCCTATAGTAACAGCCCCTACTAAGTCAATTTCATTTACCCTCTTATATATCTACTCTAGTGCAAGAGAGAATTGTAGCCTGTACTACTATTGATTTCCTCAGTTATAAAAACCACAGAGATATTGCTGTGCTGTGTAATTACAATATCTTACAGTGAAAACTATAGTTTCTGTTTACCAGTAAGCTGGGTGCTTCTGGCAAAACACTGCTGCCAAGGTCTTGCAAAGAAATAATATTGCTCCTGGCCCTTAATTGGAAAACAAAGGGCTTTCTAATAGTAGAAGTACCAGGCTTGCAATAGGGGCAAGGTCTAATTAAGAAAAGAATGAGAGTAGAAAGACAGCCAGAAAGTTCCAGTTGTCAATTAGGAATTATCATGTATTGGTTGTTTATTTTAGGAGAATCATTGTCTTCAATGCACTAAGAAATAGTCCGTCAATATTACAATCTGATCTCAAAATAAAAGGAGCCTACTTTTGAACCAGGCATACAATATGACCTCTAGATCTAGTCAGAATTGTACTTATGATTCCTACGTAAATGTACACATACTGCTAGGTAGGAGAAATTCAGAGTTCATGATGGATGTCAGTAGAAATTAGAGTTACCTAGATAACATAGTGTGGTATATTTAAAAGCCAAACTGGTACTTAAGAGCAATACAATGTAAAATATACAGAATATATTACAGTCAATGCTTATTTACTAATTTGTTCAAAACAAGCATATTCAGTCACATTTTTCCTTTATCACATCCCTTTGATTCAAAATATGTAGAAATATTGGATAAAATATCACACCTTAAAAAACACACATATGTATGATGTGTATGAGTGTGATAGAGAAAGAGTGAGTGAATCAAGTTCAAAAGAAAGATAGAGAAATCCTCAAGTGCCAGCATGAAGTAGAAACACAAATTTAGAGAGGTAACTACATAAGTGGACACCAGAATAACACAGAGGAGCATTGAACATGGATGTAGGTGCTGTAGATTAGGAGTTAGAGTTTCAGTTTTGGCACAGAGGCAGAAGCCCTAGACTTGCAAAAACCTAAGACTGAGAGTTGGAAGCACGAACCCTGAATAAACTTGGGTCTCATAAATGGCTGCTCCCAACATAGGAAATAAGTAGAAAAATATTATTCACCAGCCCAGGGAAGACACAGGAATATTCATGATAAAGGAAAGAAAAATGAAGTTTTCATTTAAATAAAACCTATAATAAAACCACAATCCTACACCCAGCTCTGGTATGGAGTCTAAGATTCAATACAGGGAACAAATAACAAAGAGATATGTATTAACATAATTGGTGAAACTTCTGGGGTATTGAGCAGAAGCAAACAATAAGCCATCCACTAGAGTTCTTCATATAGCCCAAATGTATTGATCTATGACAAAATAACCCATTCCTGAAACTGAGCTTACAATACTGAGTTCATATCACCAAGGGAACAGTCTGCTTCCTGTAAGGGAAGGTGGGCAACATGATAAATAGGGGAGTTAACACTCATAACATAGACTCATACAGAAATCTGATTGAGTCTATAAAATAAATAAAATGAAAAAAACAAACTATTTTTAAAGGAACTATAAGCACAAACAAAATAATAAAATATTTTAAAAAGGGCAGACATTTGGAGAAAGTCAAATGATTAAAAGTTAAAACTCACTTGAAGGTTAAAAATCAAATCTGTGGCAGCTTTAGATAAAGATGAAGAAAAAATTAATAAACTGGAAAGTATTTCTCATGAAACTTCTCAGAATACTGGAAGACAGATAAAATAAGTGATTACATAAAATGAAGGTTAAAGCTCATGGAGAATAGAATAAGAAAATCCAATATTACTTAAGAGTGCAACATTAAAAAGATTTTCAGACAACCAAGACAGAGAAGGCTTATTACTCACAAACTCTAACTGAAAACAACTGAAAATATAAAAATTGATTCTTTTAAAAATAAGAGACCAATTAAGGGGCAGAAAATAAGGTGACAATAAAATGGAATTAAATTATAGGCAACAATAATATAGAATATGGGAAGGTATGGTCTAAGTTAAAACTTTCTAATTTCCATATACTGTTCAGGGGAAAAAAAAACAGTAATACTATTGCACTGGACTTATTCAAGTGTTCCAATTAAAATATTAAGACTGACACACATAAAAGTTGAGTTCATAAGTTTAAGAAAAGATTTTTAAAGGCAGGAAAGGTGTAAAAAACAAGAAAAAATGTGGTTAATGAAAACATTAAATAAGATGGTTTATCTCAGAAATTATCATATATTAGGGATAATAATGTTAATGAGTAAAATTCACCTTTTAAAGGAAATTCAAAACTGTAGGGAAGATTCCATTTTAATATTGTTTCTGAAGGACATGTTTAAATCATAATTATATGGAAAGATTGAAAATGAAGTGAAACTGAAAATATAGTACAAACTTTATTTTATATGTCCAATTAATAGCCTTGACTATGTGATTGAGCTATTCTTAATTCATTTCCATGTCCCATTATGCTTCAGTAACACATATTAGAGATCATTTTAATTCATATTTTTGTTTTTCTTAGCCATTGTAGTTTTTAAAATGTTTAATTTTTCTATTGAATAATCAGAAGTTTTCTAAATTTTTTACTAGGCTATCAGTTATTTGTGTGAGACATCTTAGAAATCTAAATATTTCCTCAATGCCAATTGAAGCTTTTAATCAAACAGCTTTGAGGGTTTCTTAAAAAATTATTGAATATTTTGAAGATATAATGTTTATATATGCATATGTGTATATATATGCAGTGTGCAAAGTAGAATTTCTTGTATTTTGATAACATAAATACAAATTTTTACAATTATTTGGGAAAGCAATCGAAAAATGAGTTAAGAGCTTTAAAATTGCTCATATCCTTTGACCCAGTAATCCTGTTTCAATGAATAAGTGTTAAATAATTAATGGAAATACATAAAAAGATATATGCCAAATATGTTTGTATTATTTATATTTTATTATGAAAAATTCAAAACATGGAAGTCTAGTATTAGAGCAATGGTTAAGTAAAAACATGGTCATTCCATAAAGTGGACTATTATATAACCACTAAAATACTTATTATGATTTAACATGGAAAAGGAGAATATAGATTTATATATGCATTTAGTCATGACTGTGTAAAAGTAAGCTTAGGAAAAACAATAAAATGTACATATTTTCTTGGCTAGTGAAATA